CAGCAGGAAGCACCTCCTGCATGTCTAGTGTGCATTCTGCAAGCAGAAGGCTGGACTTTGTACCTGGTAACATTGCATGGAAAAATCTTTGGGGCATTTTCTGTTAGTCTACTAAAGGCTTCCCAGATAAAACAGCAGGATGCTCATCTCTCACCTTGGCCTGAAAATACACTGGTGAACAGAACATCTTAACAGTTCTGTTCAAGTCTCTGCTAGCATGGCAAGAAGTGAATTTCAGCCCCTGCAACAGCCTGAAGACAACTTCTACCCTCTGGCTGTGCAGTATTGAATAAAAGCTCTTCTTTGCATCAGCTCTCCTCTAAACACATCCTGCCTTCTCAGTGCAATAATTGCAGTTCTGACACTAAGATGACTTTTGGTGGTGACAGCCCCCCTGCCTCTTCCTCCAAGTCAGTGCAGGCTCAACAGTTTTTACTGCAGGAAAACGAGAAAACCAAAATCCTATGACAGAAGACAGTACAGCAGAACTCTGCCTCTGTGTTTACTCTACATTTGGATTCCCTTAGAAGCTGTGGCAACTTGTTAGACATCATTTGTACTATCAAACACCTGGGAATCCTGATCATAGACCAGGTCCCTGCTGAGCTTGATGCCACTGAACAATCCCATGAACTCTTATTTGGTGGAGTATGGGTGCATACTGCTCAAAACCAACTGGCTGCTGGCACATTTCAGTTCACTGGCTCTTCCCATTGTAAAGCAGCAGAGCACACCAGAAAGCAGTGCTCTGACTGCTGAGCTCCCTGCAAACATTCCCTCTGTCCTAGGATATGCATGACTAGCATGTCTGGCCCAGTACCCTCCAGGCACAGGGCTATCACAAAGATGGGATGTGGCAAGTGAGTGTCTGGATTAGGGGCATTTCACAAGCCAAAGCTCCAGCCAACATTGCTCATGGTCCAGAGCTCACCATGTACTCACCAAATCCAGTGCTGAACCTCCTCCTAGGTACTCCATGATTATCCACAGCTTAGTGCCCTGCAAGTGAGAGTACAAGTCAAGAATAAAGGCAGTCATAAAAGCAGGGAGAAAAGTGTAGCACCCCAGAGAAGACAAGACACATGGGCAGTCCTGCCCAAAACCCAAGAGATGCTGCACACCACAGCTCTCAGAGGGAGAGCTCCCAGCTCTCTCTCCTGCTGACACAGCACTGTGACAGCAGGCCTGTCACTCTTTTCTCTGCAGTATTATCTGAGCAAGCTTAGTGCTCCTACCAGACTACACAACCCACAGAGATCAGCACATTCTCAGGTTGGAGCCATTTAACTTCACTCCAACAGATCTAGCACCTCTCCTTCCTGACAATGACAGGGGAGCTTTTCAGCCTTTGATCTCATTAGAAGAGCTTCCAGCTTGAAGGGTGAGATCAACAAGACATTCTATTACTCCTCAAAGAAGGTATTTCCAGACTGAGGTTCACAGGGTTCTGGTAGAAGATAAAGCAGCAGATCCACAAAACTACAGCTTGCTTGGTGTTTTCAGCAAAAGGCTGAGGAAATGCATTATGGTCTTGGGAAAATATGTAAGGAATAATAGCATCCAAAGACCTCAACAGCTGTTGGCTCCAAACCCAGTGTCACACACACCTCCAGCAGCCAGAATGCAGAGGCCACTGATGGTCATCCCTTCGAGCAGCTTCCACTGGGGATTCTGAAACCTGTTGTCAATGGAAGCAGTATCAGCACTGTTGAGAAGGTCCTGCTCTTTTCATCAAGGTCACACTTTCAGACTCCTTTCCAGAGGCATAAACTGATACTACCTTAAAACTGGGATATTTTGGAAAAGCATTCCACAAAGTTTCTGTCAGGAATGGTCAAACCAAGGAGAGGTCAGCCTCTTGAATGCATCATTTTCTCTCCAGTGCTCTTGGGACCATGTTGTACTGGGCACCTCATTTCCTGGTGCTTTGCAAGTGTCTTAAAGCCCAGCCTCCTTTCAAGACTGCACAAATGCCATAGGCAGAGCCACTGCTGCTCCTGCTGCCACACTGACACTCTCAAGTTGGGCAACCTCTCAGCCCTGTCCACCACCCCCAGCTGCAGCATCCACAGAGAGTCCTGCTCTATTCCCAAACTGCTGCCAAGTGAATTGCTATGGATTTGTCCTACCTTCAAGTAGGAGCCATAGTACCGGGTGATGTAGGGGCTATCACACTGGCTGAGCACTGTGATCTCCTGCTGAATGTCCTCA